GGGGTGGGGGGTGTGTGTTTGTTTGTTTCTTTGTGTTACAACTAACACTTGCATCAAATAAATTGAAATAAAACTTCTTACCCCAGGAGGCTGAGCCTGCAGAATTTCCATGGCTTCAGCATCATTCAGACCAAGCTGCAGCCACACAGGGTGAGTATGGAGGAGCTTGTCCAAGATGCTTAGCTTGTTGGATAGGCTGTCATATCCAGAGTCCCGGGGGCAGCTTTTCACATCATTTTTCTCAGGAGAGACATTATCCATGTCCTGTACTAGACTGTGAAAAATATTTAAAAAATTAAATTAGACATGCTAATCTCCTATAAACAATCACTCAGTTCAGCAAACAGAGTTATCACAAAGCTAATGGCACTGCTGGCACCCTGGACTGGTATTTCTCCTACTGATAATTCCTATAATTGATATACACAAAAATTCTCTTATCTATTAGATTTCTTTCTTTCACTTGCCCTCAATTTAACAGCTAGCTTTAAGATAAGCCTTAGCATTCTTCTATTAGCTTGTTGAAATTTGGCAATCACTTCAGATACAGGTGCATATGCATACCTGATTGACTGAACATTTCACCTCCTTTCTTTGTTATGTTCACATTTGCAAAAACTGCTCTTCAAACGTATTTACGCAATTCAGGTATTTTATTCCCAGACAGACTGCAAAAGCTGCAACCCACAGAAATCTTCCTCTGTCCTGCCCGCCAGAAAAATCTGTTCAATACTCTGACAATGGAGCAACCCACTACCTGTTGGCAATCACTGCCCAAACACAAGCACTTTCTCTGTTTGCTTATAGGGATTGTTTTCACAACAGAAGCCCACAAACTAGCATCACTTCATCTTATCCCCAGACTACTGTCTCTGTTCTACCAGCCCTGTCGTCTTTGCAGCTGCGTATCCATCTGCGTTCCCCTCTGCTAATGAGTAGTCAGAGACCTCAGTCAGGAGAAAAGAAAAAGGAGAAAGAAAAGAAAAGAAGAAAAAAAAGAAAAGAAAAGAACAAGTTAAATCCCCCAAATAAGCCTCCCTAAGGCACAGCTTCATTGAGAAATTGTCTTAAGTGGTAGTAATTTTTTATGGTCCATGCTCTAAATCCTCTAAATGTTTACATTTTTAGGGAATTGTATATTTATGCTCCTAATTCCTTTGGCTCTAGAATGACTCCTTTGTGAGGGATAAAGGCTAAGCTAAGCGTGAACGTGGCAAACTAACGTAAAGTTAAAATTTTTTGGGGGCAGGGCAGCTAAAGTTACTGCTAAATTCACTAATGAAGTACAGTTTTTGGAGACTACAGATACTTGTTATGCATTAAAAATACAAATAAACCCAATACTTTGAGAGCTGCTTTTGTTATGCAAAGCTTCACCATCATTCGTATAATACAGAACACCCAGTACAATTGCACATGTGTTGCTTGTTCACATTCCTCATTTTTGAGCTAGAAGTATATCCTGTGATTCTTCCAGTGCTAGAAATGACTACAGAACAGTTACTCTGGTAACAGCTGCCTGATAACAACATTTGAGCATAGACAAAAACCACCCTGCAAGCTCAAGATCTGACTCGCTAAGATGTCAGGCAAAGAGGTTGTGTTCTCCCGACAGACCTTTTCTGATGGCAGAAGAGGCCCCGAGCGGCAGAGGGCAACGCAGCTGCATTTCCCCACTGCAAACTGTCTCGCAGCTCTTCTGAACTTTGTGTTTTGCACAGACAGTAAGCACCATCAACAGCATTTACCACCTCCATTATGCCAGCTACTCTACGCAGAGCAAGTGGGTAGAGACTTCACAAGCACAGGAGCACCAAATACTTAAAAAAACCCAAACAAAACCCTCCCCTCCCAACCCCAAAACAAAAGCCACCAATGAACAATGAAAAACCCCAAACAAGCAAACTTTTTTTCTAGCTTTGGTGAGCAACTTGCAGCCTCTCTGGACAGCGCTAGAAAGGGAAGTAAATGGGGTAGAGAACTTTCACTGCACGATCAGATAAAAACAGGCACAATCATTCAAACTTTTTATTACCCAGATCAGTTATTGCTACCAGATCACCTATGTGCCTCTCCCCTCCTTTCTGTCCTCTTTCTCTGTTTGCTTATTTATGACGTGATGCCTATCTAAAGATTTGCAAGGCATCTAAAATGCACACGGTCTTCCCTCCCCGAGTGTCAAAAGCTGTTAGTAACTGCCAGCATGCCTTCAAGGGGCACAAAATACACAGGAACATGTCGTGTGCAGAAGGGAAGTTGCGTTTACATCAGTTATGACCGGGCTCTGAAACCACCACAATAGGAATCCTGGATTCCCCTTGTAATTGTTGTGTTGTAACGTATGAATCTCCACAAAAGTCAAATCGTGAATCACAAAAGCGTTTTCATGAGCTGAACCTCCAATAAATATTGCTCAGGAACTTTCCGCTCACCTTCAGAGCCAGTTAGCAGCGTTACAAACCAAGAGACAGCTGTGGCAAAGTGCAAGTTATACACCGACACTGGCTGCGGGCTTAACTAGATGTAATTTATTTCCATTCCTTGGCCAAAAGGTGGAAACTGAACATGTTGCAGAAGGAACATGTCTGAGAAGGAAATTTTTTTTGCCTACAAAAGAGAGTTACATCAAATGCAAAAGAAGGTGCACGATTGGTATCAGCTGTAAGGACTGGCACCGCTTGCCACCAGGAAACAACCTAAAGCTAGTAAGAATTTGGACATGTATGTAGGGTCACAGCGTTCCTCTTCAGTATGGCTGGCTTAATGTTGTCAAACACACCCAAACTGTTACAAATTGGAAGATTAATTTGAATAGGGAGCTGTTGGTTTTTTGGAGCCTCCAGGTACTTAAAATGCACAATCCCTCCCACACGCCGAGATCCGAGGAGGAATGCAATGCGTGAGCCCACACCTTACCGACCTAAATACGCACGCACCTCCATGTTGCAGCTGCTTCTGCCCCCTCAAGAAATAAGCCAACGATTACGAGTATCTGATCATGATGAGACTTTCTGCCACTCCTAAACACCACCAGTTCAAATGACTCCGATGCACCTCACCTAGGTCAGTACTAGTATGTTATTGCAATCCGCATGAAGGTGAACTAGGAACAAGTAACACTTTAAAAAAATTATTTCCTATGCAAATAATAAAGAAAGAGGCAGAGAGAAAGATCAGACCTGGTGAACTCTGGCAAGAGCATAGCTTGGAAAAAAACCACACCTGGCAAACCACATACAACCTATGAGAAGCCACTTCCCACGGTCCAGGAGGTAAATGCAGTCAAAAATCCATTGGTCTGTTTTGACGGCCTTTTTGCAATGGTCCAGCACTACTAAGCATCATAGTCCGAGTTTGATTTTTATTCTTAAAATGATTTTAATTAGCGATCTGGGCACTAAACATACAGTCAAACCCTGACACATGGGAGTTTGAAATTTGTCACATCTTAGATTTAGACTGTAAAATTATTTGGGACAGGGATTTGTGTGTAACTTCTTCGGAAACAACAGCATGGAAAGAAGAACCATCTGAATGCCTCATGATCACCCGATTAATTCAAGTGTACGGAATAAGAAGTTGCTGTAAGCTAAATGCTAGCAAAATGTGCTATATATTATGCAACGATTAAATTTCTCACCTGGTTTTACTTTTGGGGGGTTTTGTTTGTTTTGGCTTTGGTGGTGTCCTCCCCCTGCCCCCGCTCCAGTGACTCCCAATAAAAGACAATCTGACTAGGTCACATTAAGCTCAAAATCGAAACACAAATCAAACCCCACAGACGGTCTACTTTAATGCAGGGGTACTATGCTGGTTCCTTCTCCAGTGGGAGAGGAGTTTCAATGCAACTCACAATGAATTAAAGAAAATACATGATCCATGCAAGTTTCCCTAGATTTGAGGAAACCCGTAAGCGTGTGGGAAATAAACAGAGGTAACTGCCAAGATAAACAATGCTGTGCTGCACCCTGCTCAGGCTTAGCTCACAGTGAAAAGGACAAGGAAGAGGCTGAAGCCTGTAACCAGGATGATCCCCTCTCTCACACCCCCAGGGCTGTAACGTACACCTCCATCGCGTATCTACGAAGCAAATACTCCTGCCCTCCCGCTCGCTACGGCCATTTTCTTTTGGTCTCTCAAATCCTACCTATGCCTCTTGCTCTAACCTCGTAAAACCTAAACTTCTAACATTTCTCCCATTTTTTCGTGGGAGTTGGGACAACGAGCCGATCTGCTCCCTGAAACTACCGCCAACCTCCTGCGCTGACAAACACTGGCCTGAGGAATTGACTTTTCTCTCTTTGGGATTACAGACACAGTGAAGATGCACCCAGCTTGCGTGCACATCCTATCAGGATGACCAACGCTGTTCCATGGGTTTGCTGTATTGAATTAAACTAAGCCAGCTGCTGTAGGATTTAGACACGCACACCCCCCTCTGTGGAAGAACTTACCCACCCTTCTGAGGGCATGAGAGGAGTTGTAGGAAGGACCTAGACGACCATCAGCATTTGAAGGATTCAGTCTGCTCCCGCACTATGGAGAAGGCTGGTTATCAGCCCAAAGGAAAGAGCAGCCCTGGGTTTAGCCTATCACCCCAGATGCACTCACTAGCCAGGAGGAGGGACATAGTGAGAGACCAGGTTTGATAGTATAACAAAGATAAGGACTCTAACTTGCACTTGAATGTGTCCACATTTCCTCACTCCATTTTTTGCCTGGATTAGTCTCTAGTTTCAGGGTATTTCCACACCAGGAGCATGTTACCCAGGGGGAGGGAGAGAGAGAAGAGGAGGTCTGCTCTTTGCCCGTGGCAGCAGGATGCTCAGCATCTCCCCAGCGATGCAACTTAACAAGCCTTGCCGCCAACTCTCTGTCAGGGTGCAAAGGTTTGCAAAACACAGCTCTGTGTCCAAATTCACTGTTCTCCCACTCCACTGTTATTCAGCAGCGAGGAATATTCCTCTTGTTTCTTTTCCAGTCACAAGGGCAAAGAGAACAGCAACAGGCAGGTAAAATGCATCTTTCTAAAATTGCAGATGAGCGTGAACCTCGCTCCAGTCCTACCAAAGGCTCCCCCACAGTTAACACAGTTTGACCCGCTGCTGCAAAAGTGCCTGGATTTCTGTAAATCCTGCAATCTAGGCAGCCTTAATTGCACCAGCTTGGCCTATACAATCGTATCGAGCATCACCTGGGAGAGGGCATAAAGCCTCTGCTGAGCATTACCTCCACTCCTCAGCAGCTGGACTGTCACTGTCTTCTCCATGCCATTACAGCTGAAAGGACAGGACAAAGCTGCTGGGGAAGGCTGTTGGATACTTGCCTACCTGTCAACAATAACAGAAGCAATTCACCGTGCAAGACACAGAAGACAACTCTACTTAAGTTAGCAACTGCTGTGGAAAACCGTATAAGACACAGGTGTGAGGGCTGTCCAGCGCAAAACATGAGGGAGGGAGCAAAGTTCTGCCCTTGTTTCTGCCGTGGTAACAGAGCAGGAAGGAAATAAGCTGCAGCAGCTGCCACCACCAGCACAGCATCCCTCGGTCATTTCACAGGCACCGAATGCTCCAGGAAGATGGGGGTTTTACAGCCCTCCCCACAGAGGGACAGCTGCAGGCTTTTTCCCCTCACCATCACTCACAAAGACAACAGATAGGCAGGGGTCCCAGAGCCCTCGAGGGAGACCGAGTGCCTCCTACAAGACCGTCTGGATGCCAGCAGCCATGTCACTCGTGCTCTCCCGTCCTACGCGACCTGGGCTGCCGGTGCACGCAGAAGCTCTCTGGTTCCCTTTTCAAAGGTCACCAGTACGGCGCAGGTCAGAAATTTATCCCATTTACGCCCTTCTCTGACAGCTCCACTCATACGCATTACCGAGATACGTGTCTGCGCTGGGAAAGAGACAACCACCGCGGGATACTGAAACGGAGGACACGAGCGTCCCACTGAAAACACGCTTGCACAAGCCTCTTTTTTGCCTGGCTTTACATGCTTACAAGCCAAAGCGGTAGGCCCAGTTACTTGAATCATTCTCGGTATTACTTGGGCCATAGATGTAAAAAGTGGAGACAAGTCCAAAATACAACTGGGGGGAGGAGTATAAATCTGAAAGTCACCACATAACCACAAAAAAAAAACCCCAAACCCAATAACAGAAGCAAGCAACCAAAACCCACACACCACAAAGTTGCAGACATACGATTTCATGCACTTATTTTTCTGAATACAGTTGAGAGCTTTTGCAACTGTTGCCTTTCTAAAACTGTTCTGGGTGCATGCGGATATACGCTAAGGTGAAAAACAAGCAAGGAAAATAGACATTCCTTTCAGCTCAAATTTCTCTAGATGCAAATCCAAATGCCACATCAAGATACCAACTTCTGAACAGCAGAACACTCAATAGTAAAAGCAACCTACGTTAATTACAAAGTTTTAAATTAACTACAAAGAAATAAAGTTATGATAGTAAACACATCCTTGTGGGAAGTCCAGTTTAAATAAGAACTCTGGAAAATCTTAGTTGAAATTACTGTAATCTCGCTCTGTAGCTCTACATAAACTAAAGATATCAGTACACAACTAATTATACGGTTTACACCAACTTTGATACAACTGCTTTCTTACATAGAAGCACACAGTTCAGAATTATGTAGACATAAAAAAAATTTGACCTTAATTCATTTATTCAGATTTCATATTTTACTTTTATCATTTCAAGTGTGACAGAAAAGCATGAGTTTCTTTTTTTATTGGATGGCTATTATTTCAATATGAAATTGAATTGAGTGAAGTAGTAATGGAAATAGCATTATCCACTTTATGTTAGCTTTACTCATTTAATTTAATCAAAATATATTTTGCACTCAAAATTAACAAATTCAGTTTAAAAAAATCAATGTTAAAAAAAAAAAATCAGCAAAAGAAATTTCCCTGCATCTGTAAAATGGGGAGATTTAATTGACTGTTTCCAGCTACGTGCATCCACCAAGATTTTAGAACTAGTAGATCGTAGTCTTTCATGCCTATGGTGTATTCAAAGATACAAGAAGCCTTTTCTTAACTGAAAATTAGCTAATGATCATTGAAATTAATGAGCTGAATCACCGAAATGTATCCTTTCCGCTGCTGTAAAAGAACTGCGCTTTCAAAAGCTTTAAAACTGGAATAATGTGCAGCCGGGGCATAGCCAAGGACTTAATTAGTTCAGCTGTTATGTTCTTTACCACTTCAGCAACAAAGGTGCTGCTCATTGTTTTATTTAAATAATTTAAATATATATTGTAGTAAGTTTTAGCACATTTCAGAAGTATTTTAGAAGGGAAAAAAAAAAAAAAAGGCTAAAAAACGTGGATGTAATTCTAAATAACAGACCATTATCCACTTCATTAACTCACTGCCTTGAAGAACAAAGCCCACCAGCTCCAGAGCTGGTCCGGACTGTGCAGTCGGATAAAACAGAACGCCTGCACCGGTTGCTTTCCTCTTGCAATAAATATTTCAACAATAAGTACAAAAATGTGTTCTCTTGTGAACACATTGATTAAAATATTGAATATCCTCCAGATGTCAATTTAACAGACATTACCAATCAAGCACTACAGCCATAGCAAAGCCAAAATGCTGGGGTCCCACTATGCCCACTTAAAGGCACAAGTTTAACATTACAAATTTCCACGGTCCACACCTACGTGGCATGATCTATTTTAAAAAGCCAGAACTCTTACCTGCACTATAATATGCATCTCAAATAATTTTAAGATTAAGGAAATGCCCCCATCTACTTAATTTTTTTTTTTAACATGCACCATACTCACATATAAATGAACATAAACACATAACCCACAAAAGCATCAGCTCGTAACAGTCAATACTCCTTAACCAGAGAACATAAATAAATCATGTTATTGTATGTTGAACCTTCACAGAGTCACTTGAAGCAATGGACTTTTTTAGTCTTTACAGCGTGAAAGCAAAGCTCATTGCTGTAGACAATGGGAATAACAGTAGTAGTTTCCTGCTTTAGACATTCACCAGTAGCTAAGGTTTGTAACAAGGAAGAAGTGAAGTTCAGTTGCTTTTAGCAGATATTAAGGCAAATACACAGAACAACTGAATCTCTGGGCACTCCTCCTGCACAAAGGCAAATCCCTTGAATCAAGAGCAAGATTATCTACACCCCCCGTGTTGCCAGGACGAAAAGTTCTAGGACGTAAGCCACCCAAGAAGAGAGCACAATGAAAACATTCCTGTCACGGTACACCTCCACAAACTATGAAAATAAACATTTTTAATCACCTTCGCAAATCAGCAGAGTCATCTTCCACTGTGAGATCTGTCTGTACCATCTCCTGTTTCAGTTCTCCGATTTCTGAGGCAATTGTGTCAATGAGCTAGAAAGGGACAAAAATAGTATGATGTCAAGTGAGTGGAAGAGGCGTGGAAAAGAAGCCCGGGCAAGTTTAGTCACCAGAGATTACAAACTTTTTTTTTTTTTTTTTTTTAAAAATCACATCCTATTTGGACTTCCCCTTGCAAAGGAAAAAGTAAGGGTTGGGGCCACTTATAATCATTCTACGAGGAAAAATAACTTCTGTTTTGTGCCAGTACGAAACCTTCCAGGTTGGCTAGCTTTTTTATTTAAATATATTAAATCTGCAGCCTCAACCTATTATACACAACAGCTTAAAAGAAGTAAATGATTTGATAGTTTGTAGCATTTAGTAGCATAGTTTCCCAAATAAGAAGCAAAAATATAATTAGAAGAGTTCCATCTGCAAGAGTTGTTTCAGAAGGGACGCTAAGCCAGCATTATGGTATTGTGGTGGATGAAAAGTAACAACGCAAGAAGGAAACGGGTGGCTGCTTTTCCCATCAGGTCTTGGACCGCACTCGGACAAAACAACTAGAGAACTGCCCTGTAACACTGCAGCTCAGGTGGAACACAATCCTAATTTTGGACACGAGGGCAAGAACTCACTTTCAAGTGGGCAGGATTAGCACGAGGGCTGTACCCTGAGAAATACAGCGTTTGCTAGCCAGATGTCTGGGAAACCTTTTGTTGAGCAGAAACCGGCTACGAAGTTTGCAAGGCATGCGGTCGGGCGTTCTTTGCAGCAACTGCATCCAGCTTGCTTGACGCACGGCACCGTGACAGCATGCAAACCCTGCCGGCGTTCCCCCTCTCCTGCCTGTAGGCAAACCCAACGAAAAGGTCTGCAGTGATGCCGTCTCCTCTACCCCCGCCACCACACCTCAGAGCAAACAAACAAAAACCCGGGCAGATGAAGTAAAAACAGCTTTCTAGTCCAAGCTAGAACAGACTTCATAGTCGCCCACAAGACATGACCCCGAGACATGACCCCGAGTCCTACTAGCGTTAGACAGCTCAGTAGAGCAGCGTTTTCAAAGAACTACAGGCAACATTTTCCTATACTGCTTTATTGGAAGTTTTCCTCTACCTCTGAAATTCACACCCTCCTTTGCTGTGCAGCATCATTCTGACCGATTCAAAAAAGTTTTCAGTCTCCACTTACAATAGGCCAACTCCATTAACTATACCTTAAGCGAGATGAAGTACCATCCACTACATCCATGCCATAGCCTTCTTTCCGTCAAGGTCAGAGCTCCCAGCCACACCGTGCCGCTGGCACAGCAGCTTACAAAGATCTTCCACCTGCTGACTCTCAGACAGCCCCTGAGTCACTGCGGCGCGATGTGAGCAATGCCTTCCCGACCATGAGAAACAGCAGCGGGAGGAACCCGCGTCGCCCTGACGGAGCGGCCTCGCGCCTCACCGCAGCACCCCGCGCCCCTACCAAACAGCGCCTTCCAAAAAAGAGCCACCGAGAGCCCTGCTAGGCACGGGTAAATTCACTCCTCCTTTTGCACAAGGGAGGAATCCGGCCCCCACGTTTGCTTTACGCGGTGACAAATACACGTGCCACTGCTGCCGGACGAGCCTCGCTGGAAAGCCATTGCATCATCAGGCACGTCCGACGGGCGACGGGCAGCGGCGACGCCTCGGAGCGGAGCTCGGAGCCGGCTGCTTGGAGAGCAGTACCAGCCTCTAGCCAGCACGCGGCCAACTGCGTCTTGCAGATCACACTGCTTGGGTTTTCCTCTTTCAAAGCCTCTACCGCCTTAGCATCATCATCCCTAATACATTTATTCTTGTAATCCTCTAAAATGCAAAAAAAATCCTCTGACCTGATGGAGGGGGAGTTTCATGCTATGGTGTGCTGCCCCCAAAGAGCGAGGTTCCACTTCTTCCCTCAGGCTGGCTTGGCTGTTCAGCTAGCCCCGATGGCTGGTTCAGCTTGCTAAAAGGTTGGAAGACTTTTTCACTCTGTCTTTTGGTTAGTTTTCTGCTGGTTTAACGACCTGAACCTCATCTCTGAGGGGGTCAGACAGGCTCCAGAGCAGGCACCAGGAAACAGAGGACAGCACCAGGCTGGGAGCGCGTCCGCCCCTTTCAGCACGTCACCAGATCCCGTCAGCCCCACCGTGAAATCAAGCCCCGCTGCCCAGCCTCCCCAGCAAACAGCCCAGGGTCTGGGGCTGTTTGAGCTGACCTTGGAACAGAGAACACATGCCCCGGTTTGGGCACCCCGAACTAGCCCATAACTGCATCGGTCACCCAAAACTCTGCCATCTGACCTGGACACCTCTGGAATTCAGACCACTCAGGAGTTCCAGCCACCTACTCAGTAGCAGGAAACATACTTTTGGGCTGACACTTACTAATGAGAAAAATAACTACCGACCTCCACAGGGAATAAAAAGCTGCACACCCCTATCACGCACTGTATTCAGAGTGGGCATATGCACACGACGGTCAAAGAAACAACTTCCAGCATATTTAACCAAGTATTTTTCTTTTAAAAATAACACCTAAAATTATGACAAGCCATGCCAAGATTTCAAGTCAACCATTAAAAGAATAAAATTTAAATAAATTTTTTAATCATGTGGATTGCTGTTCAGGTTTTAAAGAAAGCAATTGATCTGTGGAAAGTCTTTGGCTACAAACCCAAACTACAGCTGATGTACTTAGCCATTTTTTTTTTTTTTTTCCAACAGCAATCCTCCTGTACAGTAATCTCTCTCTACAGTACCTGTAGAGAGAGATATCCACTGATTCAGTTCAATAGTCAATTGATTCAAAACAGAGAAGCTAACTACAAGTGTAAAAAGACAGAAAAATTGCGTTTCTCTTCCAGGCTGTGACTAAGCCGTAGAAGTGGAAGAATAAGCTCTACTAGGCCTAAATCTCTGATGAGCAATCCATTACAGTCACTAGCTACAATAAGCACTCTTAAACTACTCTATTAGTTTCAAACACGAACGTGCCTTCTCAAAGTTAGTTCTAAATAACTAATGACGTTCTAAAATACTGACACAATGATTTCTCGTCATTATTTGCATCAAGATTTATGAAATGCAAGTCAAAAAACCCCAATAAATACATGTTTAGAAAGAAATACATGGTTTGGAAAGAAACATACAATTTGCCATTTTTAAATAGGGAATGTGACAAGTATATGGGAAAAAAATGGAGCACATCTTTGGTGAACAAAATCCATTCCAGGTTTAATTACAGCCTTTCAATTACTTAAATCAGGACTTCCTCTCCCTGGATTAAAATCACATTTCATAACTGACGGTGGTTCACAGTGAAACATACAGCCAAGGGGCTTGTTTTATGAAAGAGAAGTTCCAATGTCAAAACAGAAGCAAAAAATACTCAGTTTTAAGTACCTCCTAATTTCCCCAGTCTTCATTCATTACTAGGTTTGCAAAGTGCAATGAGGTAGTCAAACACAACCATGCAATTGTTACTGTTAAATAAGATCTACGCTGCTGACGCAAGTCTTACTGTATCTCTACAGCTTTTGTAACCTTCTT